AATTGATGATAAATTTGAAGAATTGGAACTAGCAGATAGATATAAAGAATAAATTGTAATTTTTATATCTTAGGCCTTAGCTTAAAATTTGTAAAGAATTATTTTAAAAATAGTTGCAAATGATAGTGATATAGGTGAGTAGGTACCAACCTAGTTGGGATTTACTTCTCTATTGTGATGCGATTAATTCCAAAATAAATTTGTACTTGTAATTTGTAAATGATTTATTAATTATTAATAAAGAATTTGTTTTTATTATTTTTTATTTGTAATTTATGTCATTTTAATGTGATTAATAAAATTATTGTTTTTTATTATTTTCCTTGTCTTTTTTTTGTAAAATTTAAAATTTAAATAAAATCTAAAAAATTTGAAAAAAAAAATTAAAAACTTTAAAAAAAATCCGGGCCAGCCCGGAATCCGGCCCGGTCGGGCCCGGGTCCGGGCCCCGATTTTGGCCGGGCCGGATGGACAGGCCTAGGTATAGATCACCATATTTGTATAGAGTATTAGGGCTGAGCATGGTTCGGTCCAAATCGAAAAAACCGACCGAACCGACCCGAACCGATCCGAAAAAATCGGTTTTATGAGTAGGGCGGTTCGGGTCGGTTTGAAAACTTTTCAACCCGAACCGACCGAATATAGTGCAATACTACCCATTCTGATCTCAAACCCTACCCGACCCATCCCCAAAGAGTCAAAGACTCAAACTCCAAACTCATTTTCTGAATCATTATAAGTTAAAAACAATATCATTATATCAGTGTTTAATACTTCATAATCTCCTACTTTGTTGATATTTTTTTCTTTAACACAGTTTGTTGTTTGATAAGAAGTTTGATGAAGTTAGAACTGAACAAACCGAACCGAACCGTACCGAACCGACTTGCAACAGTTCGGTTCGGTTTTGAATTATAGGCGGTCGAACCGACTTGCAACAGTTCGGTTCGGTTTTGAATTATAGGCGGTTCGGTTCAGTTGTTCAAATTTTGATAAAAACCGAACCGAACCGACCGTTGCACACCCCTATAGAGTATTAATAGAATTCACATCCTTTTACCTTAGTATAGAGCAGTATGCAGACTATTCTAATAGATTTTTTGGGTAAATTTTATAAAACCCCTAGATGTTTAGGTTGTTCCCTGTGAAATCTGTTTTTCCCATTAAACTCTCCATTTTTTGCTTTTAAATCATGTTTAAAAAAAAATTCAAATCTTATATACTCTATACTTCATAGCGCTTCTAATATCAGGAAATGAAAATTCAGGTCAATTTTCTGCTGGAAAACATGCTATACAAGAAGGCAGAATATGCATATCGTGACTATTAATCAAAATTAAAAGTATACCTAAAATATTTTTCGATTCTCTCAATATCATCTCCCAAAACTTAAATGAAAAGAGTTTCCTCGTGAGAAAAAACCTCCAATTGAAATACACTCATCATTGAAGAGGGGCAATATTGAGAGATATGTTCTCAATTTTCTATTTTTTCTGTTCTGTTCTATTCATAAGGCTACATATAAACCATATATATTTTTATTATTAGACTAACATTATAGATTTTAATTTCAAACAATTCATATTTGTTCAAAACTCTATCCATAACGAATAAAGATAGAACATAATTATTCAAAAACTTTATCCATAACGAATAAAGATAGTAGAATTTATATTGTATGTAAACCTCTTCTAATGACATTAGTTAGACCAATTAGGTACCATATTGAGAACCAATTATTAATCAAATTAATAATTTTAACTTAACAATTAAATTCTTATCCTACCAATTGTTCATAAAAGCTCTTCCATAATGTGAGATTAGTTATTCAAAAATAATATTATCTTATATTCAGTCCCTTCTAGTGTCTTTTATTTTAGATAACTCTTTTGAGCATGACAATTCACCTAATTGCTCAATCCTAAATTTTAATCCTCATGAAAATAAAATAAAAAATATTTTGAAACATCAAAATATTTTATTTTTTATAAAAAATTAAATTAAAAAAATATTTTTCAAAACTACCTGCTGGCGGGAATTTAATAATTTCATGGGAATACATAATAAACTAACTCATCGAAATAAACATACTGGATTTTATCTAAATATTCATTATTTTTCTAAAAATTTTTCATTTACCAAAAAAAACATTGCAGGTTGTGTAGCTCTTGGTAAACAAGCTTAACAATCACATCAAAGCATACTAAATTATCAAATTAAAAATGACAATATTATCAAGTTAAATGGACCATGTACAATCTAAATTCTCTATATCTTTTAGGTGACTCATCCTGGATAATCTAAATACGGTCTAGCGCTACATACACCATAATGTGTGCTTACGACAAACACCCAGAGAATCTGTATTCCCGATGGTTGAGATCCACCACCACATCTTACATGTCGGTGTCATACATAATAACATGTTATAACTAAATTATCCTTTACTAATTAAAGATTAAGCACAAGTTTAAGAAATCTCTAAATTAGATTATATATCCAAGTAAGTGACCATCATAATGCATGGTCTAACAAAAGTTATTTCTAAGGATGCTATTGTTTGCCTTCTTGTTTTGATGATGATTTACAAACAATTTACTACTAATGTTGTTTGTCTAGTGTTTGTGTATTCTTATTTATTGTAGACAAACAACGTTCTTGGAGGATGGATGGAATAGAGCTTCAACGATCATATCCAAAGGAGGTTGGCGGAATGTCGGTGAAGCCTTGCTATTCAAAGTTCAAGATCCAAGTTAAAGCTTCATCCGCGAGATTACCTAGAAGAGCTTATTGAAGATCAAGATCTAGCTTGGGTAATTTAGTTTAGGATTTATATTATGTGTGTTATATACTCTAAGCTCAATTATCTATACACACACATTTATTGGCTTCTTCGTATATATATATATAGTCATATATATATATATATATATATATATATTCATATATATATATATATATATATATATATATATATATAAGTTTTGGTTTCTATGCATATATATAGTTATATATATACATACATATGTTTTGAGTTTTTATGGTTATATATATGAAATTCTATATTTCATATTTTCTATTATGTTTTTGAAAACATTGCATAGAATATGCAATTTTGTGAAAATATTGTATTCTTAGTTTATAGACTTCAATATCAGTTTATACATGTTTTACTAAGTCTACAAAAATATTTCACAAAGTTTCAAAAGTTGGTTTAGCCAAAATGTCAAAATTCACATGTTTACATTTTCATGTTTTGGACTAGTTTGTAAAATGATGATATTTTTCATTTGGGAAGTCCTTTTTGATAAACAGTCATTGTAGCATGTTTATTATCATGTCTATAATCATTTTCCAAAGTTTTACATTTTTTAGAATTTATTTGATATTTTTAAACAGTGTTTTAAAATCAGCTTTGTTTTTCTGGGATGTCAGTTTTCGGTCGACCGGTACGATCGACCGGTCAAATGATCATTTCTCAGTAGTTTTCCAGAGAGTCGTCGGTCGACCGGTACGGTCAACCGAAATTTCGATTTCTATATCGGTCGACCGCGCCGGTCGACCGATGATGGCTCCGCTTGTTTTCTGGATTTTCAAGGTTGTTCGCGGTCGACCGGATCATTTTTTCGGTCGACCGAATCGTTGTCAGGTCTCCCAACGGCTATTTTTCTAGCCGTTGCAGAACTTCTGTTTTGGGCCTTTTGGTCATTTTGTTTGGGTTTTTGGCTGAATTCTTGGGAGGTTATATATACCTCCATTGCATTCAATTCTAACTAGTTTTAGAAGAGAATGTTTTAAGAAGTTTTAAACAAGGTTTTAAACAAGGGTTTAAGCTTGTTTTTGTTTGGTTTAAGTTTGTTTTGGTTTGCTGTTACAAAGAGGAGTTTACAATCAGCTATTGAAGAGTTCATCTTCAACATTTCATCATCCTCTCTTTGTGTTTATAGAGAAGTTTCCTTAACTCTATTTCCTAGCATTTTGTGTTGTGAAGTTTTCGGTGAACTAGAAAACCGATTGTGAGGAGTGACGTTGATCGGTGAGCGTTGAAAACCGACACTGTGAGGTGTAAACGTTATTCGGGTGAACGTAGAAAACCCGGTTGATAGTGGATTTCTCCCCGGGAGTGGGGAGCGGAGACGTAGGACGGAAGGTCCGAACTCCGTGATCATATTGCTTGTTTGAGTTTGTCTTTGGCGTATTTGTTTTTGCATTTATCTTATATCGCCAATTGTGCACTACTCATTTATTTCATCCACTATCTTGTTTAGATTATTTACCCTTGTGTTGTTTATATATCCTTGCATATATATTTTGCTATATATCTCTTTGCTAGGATATATCCCTTGTTCATATTGTTTTATCCTAGCTCACATATCTTGTTGTATTCTATCTTGCAAGAATACAACTTGTTAATTAATTTTAATTGGCATTTAATCGGATTAGATTAGCATAAGACCCTAATCACCCCCCTTCTAGGGTCTAACAGCTATAACAATTAGAGAAATGATACCCAAATTATATGTGCAACAATTAAATCTATTAATAGTTTAAAAATATTATATAATTTGTGTTGGATGTTCAAGGGCATGCTATCACTACCCTAGCATTTTCAAAGATGCTTTCATCCTCCAAACACATTTAAATAAAGAGTCACTTCCATGGTTCAAGAGTCATTCCGCCACAGATTTGTACATCTGCGATACACTTTAGAAGGAGATTATGATTCAAGACTGGAAAAGTTAGAGGGTATAGCGAAAAAACAAAGTGCAGAAGGAAACAGCCCAAAGTGTTATGGGTTTTTTTCGAAATTTACCCAGAATCTTTCACTCGGACATCACTAGATATATTTCTTTTATACGGGCTGGCCCACATCCCAATCGTTGGATGAGTTTGGGGGCCTTATAGACCTGGGCTGGGCCTTGAAGTTGATTAGGACCAAGCCCGAATTTAGTGTTTCTAGTCCGATCCAAAATAAAAAAATTAAACGGGCTATTGCTTAATCGAAACCGTGCGCTGTTTGACCCTTTTCCTTGGGAACTTGGATCGGATTCATTGTCACCCTTAAAATATTTGCCCTAAATTCTTGTTCTTGTACCAGTTAGCTCCAGTTTGTTTCAATTGAAGCTTCGGATTCTTTCAAACATGACAGAGGTACTCTCTCTCTCTCTCTCTCTCTCAAATTGATTTATCTAATTCTGTAAATTAGGGTTTTTATCCTTAGTTCTTGCCATGGTTTCGTCCAGTATATACAAAAAACTAAAAATATTATTAAGATATGGCAAGAAATTTGATTTGTGGCTTGGTTCCATCAATTGTTTAAATTTTATGGTGCGCTGAAATTATGCACGATTTCTAGGGTTTGGGGTTTATGAGGAAGGATGCTGCCTCGAATTTTGTTTCAGAAACAAGAAGTTTGCCAGAGCACTTCTTATATGCTTTTTTTGCTCTTCATTTGTGAGACTCGATTGGAGGAGAGATATCAGCTATGATGGAGAGAAGATAATAATAGATGGCAACTAATTGTTACAACCATTAGCTGCTTGGTTAAATGCCAATGCTAATTTCTTCTTTGCTTTGCAAAGAGCTGTACCAACAATGGAGATGGACCATTCTCAAAATTTTAGTAGTGTTCTTGGATTTAAAATACCGTCACTGGCATTTCCGTGCTACATTTGCTTCAAATTTTGGATGTTATATGGTGCTACTCTGCTCAGACACTTGGATGTTTAGAGGGTATTTTCGGTTAGTAGGACATAGAATTACATGTTATTCTGTTCTGCTGGAGCTAGAGCTCTTTCATGAAATTTATTCCACCAGTGTATAACAATGATTAAAAAGGGCGGTCCGTTGCATGAGCTCCCGCCTATGTGTGGGTCTGGTGAGGGTCAGGCCACTTTGCTTCTAATGTATGCAGCCCTTGTTAATCATTGCAATACACCAATACATTGGTGAAATAAGAGGGTGTTTGGGGGATTTTTTTTTTCTTTCTTTTTGGGGTTCAAAGTAGCTTTTAAGCCGACTTTTCCATATCTACATGTTTGATGAGATTTCAAATAAGATACCTTTTAAGCTTAATTTAGAAAAGTTGGGTTGTAAAAGCTCATCTACATAAGCTAGGTTTGACCAAGTAAATGTTTTCTCTACCCATACAACTTTTTATATAATAATGATCATAAAAGCTAAAAGTCACTAAAAGCTGGCATATGTTACTGAGCTTCAAAATAAGCCCTACCAAACACCCTCCACGTCACCCTCCTAAGGTTTTTATACAATAAGTCTTCCTCTTAAAGAGGGATACATTGGTAATCACATCAACTCCTTGAGCATGTAATTAATTTCAAATCATCTCTTATAATTAACATCTTGTTAATCACATTCCAAAAGAATATGAAAATGAGACCTGAGAAGAATTTGTGCTTATGTTGTGGCTGATAGTGTGAAGATGTGGTAGTGATGATGGTGATAGTGATGGGGAGGACCATTGTAGTGAAAGGAAAAAATGACAAAGGTTAGGATGATGGTTAGGACTTGATTTTTTAAGGCTTTGGGCTAGCTTGCATGGTATAGTGGTCAGAGACAATTGTTACTTGAGATTAGAGGTAAATTTGCAGATTTAATTGAGTTTTTTAGTTACATGATGATTTTGGTGGAGAAGATGCTAATGGAGGGCAGTGGTTGGGGACATAACAGTTCTCGTGGTGACTGGATGTCATAGGCGATGGTGGTTCTGTGGTATTGTGTGGAGAAGGTGAAGGTTTGGTTAGGGTTACAAATTTTTAGGATTCAGATTTGAAATGACAAGAGGATTAATAGAAGTTTTTGGATATTCTTTGGGCGCTTTAGGGGATCCTGGTATATACATATTTAGGATAAATATTAACCCTTTTGAGTATTATACATTTTGGCCGGATATGTAAACAAGCAATATTTAGACAGTTTATTCTTGTTACAAGGTATGCATGAACTTGTGCAGTATACGTGTAGTTTGCAAGTGCATGCAAAATTTCATTTTGTTCGCACATTAGATCTTGGTTTTACATTTGTATATTTCTGAGAATTTGGTAAATACCAATCTGGTAACTGTTTCTTGTGGCTAAGCGATTTCTCTTTACTTTCCTGTTTGATGCTTCCCCAATATGTCATTTTCCTTGACATGGATTTTCCTTTTTTGTATTCTCTCATTCCTGTTCATCTTTCTCCAATCTTTTTTAATCTAGCAGCACGACTTCAGTATGATATTTTTACTATTATAGTGCTGGTATTTGAATTCTTTGAACTTCAGTATGATATTTTTACTATTATAGTGCTGGTATTTGAATTCTTTGAAGTATATAATTTTCGAGAACTGGCTCTTCCTCATTAACCAGTATTCCTCTTTTGGTGCTTTGCAGTATTGGGTCAGTCAAGGAAAGAAATGGTGTGATTTCTGCAAGATATTTATAGCCAACAATCCCTTGAGCATCAGAACCCATGACTTAGGTCAGCGCCACAAGGATAATGTTGCCAAAAGGCTTACTTCTATGCGAAAGGAAAGTGCTGCTAGGGATAAGGAACAGAAGAATGCAGCTCAGGCCCTAGAGCAAATAGAAGAGGTATCATTTTACTTCTCTCTGCTGTGATAGCTGTTCCCAGCCCCCCACCCCGCCCCGCCCCACCCCCACCGCGAGATTCCTCATCTCTTCTGTTCATAAAGAATGCATCTTGTTATTTTCTTAAAGAAAGAAAGAACGAGAACAAGTCACAGCTTAGATAGCTTTAAATTCTTGAACTTTATTTAAAATGTTGTATCGATTTGCTGGATTAGATCTTTTAGTGCAGAAACCTAAAAAAAGTTTTAGCTTACCAAAATTTTCCTCGCTTAACATGTTGAATCCCTTGTCTGTGTCTTATTCTGCAGAAAGCTAAACGTAGCTATCAAAAAGATTTAGCATCATTTGAAGCTGATAAGTCTTCAGAAGCTCATAATAAAAGACCAGAGAGTTTTAAATTTTCTGCCAGAGATGGTATGTAACACTGTTCATACTATACTATCTTTTGTTTCTTCCATTCTCATAAAAAAATATAGGTTTTTCCCCTCCTTTTATTTTTTATCTTCTTCCTTTGCTGGGTCTTGGCAACCATGGGATTCAAATCAGTGAACTGGCAAGAGGTGGAAATGAGTAGCACAAATACTTATACCGGTTTGGTTAGAATGGCTATAGACCTATAGCTAATATAAATATGTAAAAGTTCATATAGAATTACACTATGGGGACTATCCTCACTGTAGCTCAATATCAGTTTGTTTTGCTTTCTATCTAGCAAACGAGCTTGTCTTAGGCTGTCTGGGTTTTTCACATTGTGATCCTTGTTTGTGTTATTTCTCCCTTCACCTACTTCTCTTGGGAAATAAGAAAAAGAGAGAAGAAAAAGAACATGAGGAGGAAAAAAGAAAAAACAAAGTGCTTACTAGGTTAGTTGAGGCTGGCTTCTCTGGAGTGATATAAAATGACAGTGAATCTTCTCGCTTGTTAAGCAGTATAT